ATGTTGGGATTTTTAGACACAAATCTAAATTTGTTGTCTGCTTCTCAGTATGTGATCGGCTAAGATTTTCGTGGTACTGTATTTTCTCGTTTGATCCCTGGGTCTCAGTGGGTATCCACGTGCGGGAGAGCAGTGAATTAATATCTAAAGTATTTATTTGAGGTTAAGTAACCTTCCTGAAGTCGTAATGGCAAGTAATATGGCTGTAACAAAAAAATAATGAATGATACGGCACTAAAGTAAGATAAAATATAGGGTTCTTGAGCCTGTTTCTTGAAAGCCTTGAAAACATTTTAGGCCCACAAAGACATTTGAAGTTAAATATCTGTGTCTAACAACAGAGAGCTGTATACTCCTGAAACCTCTTGTTTGAAGGGAACCTCTGTTCATATTTAGAATTTGTGAATAAAACAGCACTGTAATCATACGGTTTGAATTTTTGCTATGGCTTTCTGGATACGAAAACTTTTGGGACCATCGAGAAACAGGTCCCTGGATACCAATTTGGTGACTGAAATTCAAATGTTAGTAGCCAGAATGGAAAATCTAGGTGCAATTTTACTCCCCGCCCCTTGATGGGATGCTAGTCCATGGCAGGGTTACCCCCAGCATTAAATTTGCCAGTACCCATTTATAGAGAGCAGCAGTGTAAGTGTTAGTGTCTTGCCCAAGAACACAGCACAATGACCCTGGCCAAGGCTCAAACTGAGTCAAGGAAAACCCTGACCCCTGACCCACCCTGGGATAAGGTGGGGATTTGGAAAAAGTTTTCCTCAAATGTTGAATAATACCCCTACCCCTGGGGATGTAGAAGGCTAGAATCAAGTCTGATCTTGGGAAATATGAATATATTTTTTCTGCTGCTGGTCGAGAATACTTGTAGTCAACATGTGCTGGTACGTTTAGCACTGTTAAAAAACAGCGTAAAATTTACTTAAAATAACATCTTAGTTAACATATTGCTACATTGTATTGAATTACAGGATGACGAAGGTGAAGATATTCATCTGAGTTCAGAACTTTGTAATGTAAAAAGGTGCAGTATTTTAAATGTCATTATTTTCCCAGTGTACTGAACCAAATTTCCTTAATCAAGTGTTCAGCTTTACTTAAAGTGCCTATGAAGTAAAAAATAATTGCTGATTATTTGAAAGGCTTTTCAAAGTAAAGAAGAATGACGTTTTCCTTTTTGGAATATCTTTTTTCATTTTAGAGATATTCACATTTTTGTATTATGCAAATGAGGAAAGTGACGACGCCATAAACAGTTCCACCTAAACAGTTTGATACAGAATCAAGAATATCTCCAGAAATACTGGAATAGTGTTCTTTAAACTTGGCACCAGAAATGTACATCACAAAAGAAAGAGAATGACACATACTATGTTGTTGTCATGGCAACACTCTTGGCTCTAGTCTCTTTCTGAGAAAAAATAAAATAATATCACCATTTGCAACCTTTTACAGTAGGACAGAGGGTCTTGCTCAGAACACACATGGTTCCCATACTGTCTTAACTCTCCCCATTAGATTGTTGGGAGTGGATGAACCTTGTTTAAGATAAAATCTGGGAATTTTAGTCTTAATTAAAACAGGACCAGCAGCATAACTATTGCAGGACGGGTGTCATTTCTGGTGCCAAGTTTATAGAACACTGCTTTAATATTTCTAGAGATATTCTTGATTGAGTGTTGTACTGTACTGTTGTACTGGAACCCACCTATGACGTCATCACTTTCCTTATTTGCATAATACAAAAACGTAAATATCTCTAAAATGAAAAAGATATTCCAAAAAGGAAAACGCCATTCTTCTTTACTTTGAAAAGCCTTTCAAATGAGCAGCAATTATTTTTTTACTTCATAGGCACTTTAAATATATAAGGCTAAACCCACTTCTCCTCTGAAAAGTAGTCAGACTGAGTTTATGAACTAAGTAAGGGAGGTAGAGATACTTGCTGATTCTCTAGGTCAAATTGTAAGATGTACAAATACATTATTATTGGCCTGTTACATTGTTAGTCAATGCTTTCAATAAGATATGATTGAAGTAGATTCCCTTAATGGGAGAGCAATGCTAGAGGCCCATATGAACTTCCTCTATCAAGGGCCAAACCACTGACATTACAGCAGGAGATTGACAACAGAATACCCACAGGAGCTCTGCAGGTGTTGTTGTAAGTGATGGCTAGTGTGGTACTGGATTAACAACTTGAGCCCTGCCAGAGTTACTATGTTGTGTGTTTACTGTTAGTGTACCTTTATCCACTCAGAGGTCTATTTGAGTACTGGCAAAAAGTTAGAACAACCTGACAAGAAGCTGTGAAGAAGCCTGATATGTTTAACTGTTTGAAGAATAATTTATTGGGCTTGTGGTGCCATGGACCACTGCATGCTATAAGTTGGTCTAGAGTAATGTCAAGCCTTTAAATTAAGTCTAGTTATTTATAAGCAGTGGTGCCTAACTCTGTTTCAGTAACACAAAGCTGCTGAGAGGTTCTTGCTATTTTCCCTGCATGGGATGCAATTAAATTTAGCTTTCAGTAGGTTTGTAATGATCCCACAGTATTTATTTTTTGTTTTTTATGAGACATATTGTTCTTACAGTAGCTGAAACCCAGTAGCCTGAAATACAAATTCAGTTACACTAGTCTATGTAGAATGAATTTTCTACAGTCTAGTTAACATGTCTCAAGGTCATTTTTTCTTTACTTGAATAGAAAACAGAGGAAGGGAAATGGAGTTAAGAGAGTTTGCAAAGAAACGTCGTCAAGATCAGATTCCGAAGAAGGGTCATCAGATGAAGAGATCGCTGTCATTGGCAATGACATCCAAAATGATGAAGACCTCAGTAAAGAGTCAGATGAGAAAGCTAATGCACGCAACACCATAAGAAGAGCAATGCTTTACCCCAGAGCAGCAAAGACAAATGCGTGGAGGAAACAAACTGTAAAACAACAGCAAAAGTGTGAGACTAGAACTTTAGATAACAAAAATAAGAAAAAGAGTAAGGGAAGAAAAGGGAAATCGAGAGTAAATACATCAAAAGTAATTGAAGAAAGCAGTGGTAAAGAGGCTGATGAAGACTTGGCCATTGATGTTGAGGCATTTGTGCACCATGGACCTGTTATGGAGGATATAGATCAAGCTGCTGCTTCATTTTCATGTCCATTCTGCTCTGCATTATGTAAAAATAACCAAGATGTCATACAGCACATTAAAGACTGCCATGACTCAGGTGAGATAAAAAATTACTGGTAATGTTTCCCATTTATTTAAGAGTTTGACTGCAAGCTTCAAGGATTTCATCAAGTTTTTCAGAAAGAAGGCAACTGGTTTTCACAGGCAGGCAAAACATTTTGAACTGAACTTTGTCATAAAAAAAAAAAACTTTCCTCCAGGTGGTCAAACCAGGCAAGCAAAATTGTCCTCACAGCTGGTCAATTTACCTGGTGTTCAGCTCTTAATGAAACTTCTGAAGTTACCAGTTTCTGTGAGCTGATATTTAGTAAGGAGCAACTCAGTCTGTCAAATTCAATAGAAACTAAGGATGAGTGGTGATATAGTGGCTGATCTATTAAACATGAAATTTTATTGATTATACATGTACTGTACTTTAAAATAATCTTTGGAAGTGTTGCATGAAATTAGCATGCCTGCATTTGGCTTTCTTTCAATCAGCAGAAGGCCCTTGCTTACATGCAGCCAATCAATTTGCCGATACTCGGCCCCAGACTGGGTTATGCTACAAAAAGGCTCTTGATTGTGCAGTAGCAGCATTGTGGAGTAGTCACAGATGTCAGGATTTGCTGATTACTCTATCATTACACTTGTCCTGAAGTGTAACTGGAAAGTGCTTCCATTGGTGGCTTTTGAATTTTTAGAGGTTTAAGTTACATACTACATGGAGGATTGTCCAATTTTCCCAGAGTCAAGAACTGGTTTGACTTTGTGAGAGTTTTGAGTTATCAGCAAGGGGTTGACGAAACACATGTAGTTGTAAAGTTGTAAGGTTCATTTGAAGGAAATCCATGGGAAACAATGTTTTAATCCGTTTTTGGAACATTTAAGAATTTGGGGTTCAAGATATTGAGATCCCCCTGTTGCTCCGGGTGTAGTCTTAAGCGTATAATCAGGATTTCATGGCTTACAATTTACATTTACTGTAACTTGAAAAATGTGGAACATTATGTATCTGCTAACTTGCATGTGTAATACAGAGAAGAGAGAAGATTGGTAACTATTGGTGCTGTGGGAAAAGCCAAGGTTTATTTTATTTGTTTACTGTCAGAATGTGCTGTTGTGGATCACAGTGAACAAGATGAAGAGATGTCCTCAGATTCACCCACAGATGCTACTGACAGTGATGAAGACTTTACACCTAACAAGACAACAACACCTAAACAGAAGGTCAGACGTGCTACAAAATCACAAACCTCTCAAAGTGAAAATGTAAGTATAAATAAATTGTAAAGAATCGTGATGGTAATTTGTCTGACATAAGGAGTCCATTATCACAAGGAATCTTTGATGAAAAATGCTGTTCAGACCTCAAACCTCTGAAACAGTTTAACCTGAGTGCCAACTTTTGATTGGGAAAAAACTGGTTTTTAGCCAAGATTCCCTGCAATAACTGCTTACGATTAGATGTACTTGAACTGACGGCACCATTGCGGTGGACACTTCTGTTTGTGATCAGACACTCTCAGTCGTTGTTGGTCCCTACCATACCTCACTTATTTCAAGGAGAACAGAAACTTTGATTTACCGATTTTGTTTGTTTTTTAGACAGCTGCAGAAGTATCTGAGGGTGAACTTTGCATAGATGTGGAAAATGTAATGGGCATAGAGTCTGGTGTGAATGACATTGATAAACCATCTGCACAGTCTACATCCCTGGTGTCATCATTCTCATGTGTAACTTGCAATGTCGATTTCAAGACAAAGAACGACCTTATAACTCACATTGCTGAGTGTAACAAACATGGTGTGTGAACTTCACAAGTGTTATATAGTTAAAGTGTTGTTTTTCACGCATGGACTAGGTTTCAAGTAATCCAATTATGGTTACCGTACTCCACTCGGGGGCAAGGAACTAAGCTATTGGTTGGTCAGAAATTGGTTTTCAATATTACAGCGATTTTGAATTGAGTGTCGAAAGCAATTTTCGTGTTTGCTTTGGTTTTGCATTCCCATGTGTTGTAATTTAGAAATTGTCATGCCATTTATTTATTGATGCAGTTATTTATTTATCTATTTTCACTTAGCTTTTGGCACAATGACAATTTTCACTTGATTTTTGCACACTGATCACCACCAGGCCCAATCTTTTCTTTCAAGTATTTTTTTGTTGTGGTAATGGTCAGTGCTGTGATTGCACAATATGTTTTCAGACAGCAGTAAAGAGTCATGCAGTAAGTTCAGATGTGTTTGTCAGGCTTGTGGGATGAGATTTTACCAGTGGACTGAGCTTCGGAAACACTTTGACGAGAAACCAGGTACACGCAATATTGTGCGAGAAAATTTTAGCAACAAATTCTATGATTCTAAACCTAAATGATTCAATTTACACCATGAATATAAAGCACAATTTCAAGGATATTCCTTATAAGATTGTAAATAGTAACACCAAGGTAGGTATACATATGTGTAGACAACGAAATTAATGGGATAACCGCTTCTGTTTTGTGGAGCTTACCCAACCTGCTAACACTTTGAAATTAGCTCAACGCAAGGAACAGGCTAGGTCGAAATATTTCCGCTCTGGGTTTTGAAAACAAGTTTTCTCAACTGCCATTACATGTGTTGTGATCTAAAATTCCAAACGATGGCCAAGTTCAACCTGGACAAGAATCTAAAAGAATTTCTAGCTATTTTAACGACCAGATTTATGCCCATTAGTTTTATCTCATCAAGAAAGCTGAGTGAGTGTTATGAATGTCTTACAATGTTCACAGACTGTCGCAAGATGTATCAGTGTGATCAGTGTGACCAGATTTGTCTGACAACAAGTTTCCTAAGGAAACACAAGAGACTTCATTCAGATGAAAGACCACACAAATGTTCTGTATGTGATGCTGCATTTAAAGACAAGGCCTATCTCAAGAGGCATGGTGTTAAACACACCGGGGTCAAGGAGTTCAAATGTGATCTCTGTGACAAACTATTTTCCCATCAACGTGAGTTTAACAAAGAAGAAATATTAGGGAGATTAAGCAAACCACGACGACGACGGCAACGAGAACGCAACCAAACAAAAGGTCTACTGAGTAGAACAATGGCTGTGCACGTGCGTTATAGATCTTTGTACATTTCTCCGTCCTCTGCAAAACAAGAACATGAAATGACCAAGTTCTGCGTGAACGACGACGGCTAATTTTTCGTATTTCATTTGGAATTGAACGCTGACTGCATCTTTAGCCTGAGCACGTTTTTCGAGCCATTGGCGTACTGAACACATCTAGACAATTACGAACTTCGCTGGTAAAATATCAATCCATTTTTGACTTGGCGTCGTCCTCGGCGTCGCCGTCGTCGTTACTTAAACTCCCTATTTACGTTTTTACACGACGTTCCTTTGCGCAAACCTAACCTTAAGATTGGGGGTTAAGTGATTAGGCATGTCGTAGAGCACAGCGGTCTGTTTCTTGCCCAGCTGTTGATTTTTCAGACAATTTGGTGGTCACGAAAATTATTCTCTGTAAGAATCTACTTAAAAGATGTATTCATTTTCATTTTGCAAGCTCATTTACTTAGGCCGCTGTGGCACGTTGTCAGTGCACAAAGTTATAGTCAAATCGACAAAAACCTCTAAATAGATCGTTTACTAAGGAAAAAAGACAACCAATACGAAACAAGTATGTTAAAGATTAGAAAATTAGATTAGAAACGCACAAAGTACCAAGCTGATTAGTTCTTATCTGAAGCCAAAAGCTAAACTAAGTTAACATTTACAGCCCCACAGAATTTGAAGTTTCAGTGTGGTTTAAAAATGAAGAACAAAGGAAAACGAAAGAAACTGATATTATAACTAATAAAAGCTGAGTCGATTACTCAGCTGATACTATTCCTAAACTAGCATAATTCTGCTTTGAAACCCCGGGGCCTGAGTACGTGTAATATTTTTTGGGGGCTCGTCGTATAATCTTCAATTGAAGGTTCGTTGTCGAGCGTAAATGCATGCAACCTCGTAGGGTAGCGTGCAACCTCGTAGCGTAGCGTAGGGTGCATGCAACCTCGTTCTCAGGGTCATCTCTCTTCCTTCCTTGAGAATGTAATTTTTCAAGGGAGGAAGAGATAGAAACCTGGGAACGAGGTTGGGGTGCATGCGCAGTGTTTAATCAATTGTTTCCAACTGTCATGGTAGGCACCCTGAGGGAACACAGAAGACGGCACACCGGCGAGAGACCATACAAGTGTAAATACTGTGAAGCAACCTTTATTAACAACAGCAGTCTGAAGACTCACACCGCTAAACACACGGGAATCCTACCTTACAAGTGTCAAGCTTGTGGCAAATTGTTTGCCAAGTCCTACGGCCTGAAGATGCATTCACTTTCTCACTCCAACGAAAAACCTTTTGTCTGTGAGGTAATCATTTTTTGTGTGTCGCTTTCCTTTATTTATTTATTTATTTTTTTTTTAGATTCTTACCGTCGCGTATGTTGTCCCGAAGACGTCAAGTTGTTTCCCTTGGATATTGGATTGTCAGTGTAATGTAAATTTTTGAACGAAAAGAAGACAGAAGCGTACACCTGTGTTGTTACATATTTTCTCGTTCACCTATCGTTTCACCACGACCTACAGTAGTATCGATAAGAAAACAAAAGAGAGCGGCTGTGACACTGGCTATAATTAAAGAAGTAAGAAAATATAGTAACAAACTTAGTCAGTAAATAAGTTAATTGACTTGACTCAATGGACGTAATGCCGTGATCATTGGATGAAATGGGAACCTTTTCTCTGATCTTTTTCAATCTTTCCTCTGTTTTCTTTTGTTGTAGGTCTGTGGTAAAGGTTTTAAGCGGCCAGATCACTTTAAACAGCACAAAATCATTCATTCTGATGACAAACCTTTTAAATGTGACACGTGCCATAGGACATTCAACCAAAGAGTGTGCCTCAGGAAACACCTTCCTTGCAAAGAGCACGAAAAGCAAGAGAAAAAACTGCAGAATTCTCTTGCCAAACAGAATCGAACTCAAAACAAACCCAAGCGATCAAAAAAGTCTTCTACAGATGCTCCGCGAAAATCAGAGAAGTCCGAAGATATTTCACAAGCCGACTGTGCCAGTCCAGCAGTGGATGATACCGCCACAGATTGCTGCGAAGTTTCAAACGATTTTAGCTTACCTTCACCTGTTGATACAAGCGAAAACTCCTTATTAGCGGGCTGTTATTCCCCTCCTTCATTTGTGCGGCCCATATCAAAGTTAGACGACAATGAGTATTACTCTGAACACGAAGATACCCAACAGGATTATCATGAGCACGACAGAGATTTCTCATCGCAGCACTTGACGGACCGAACAGAAACAAGCTTGCTTCCTGCATCATTCGTCCCTGCCATGTTCGGGGTCGAGGAACCTCTTTCACTCGACACCCTTCCCCCGCTTCCTTCGCATCATACGCATACATTATCTGGAAGACCGCTGAGTCATGACAATGCTACTGATCTAGGCTCGGTTTTCCTAAGCAGCCCTATAGACTCGGAGAACCTAAGTTCCATCGTCGAAGAGACAAACTCATTTTTTGGTCATGACTGAACTCATTCATTTTCACTTTAATTATTTCGCTTTGAAAACTTATTTAATTTAAATGATTTAAATGCATGGTTACCCCATGGCACCTGATGTATTTACTTATTTATTTATTTATTTAAAAGTGGGAGGTGATCGTATTTAACATTTGTAAAATTCCGGTCGTTACTGTTGTGCTCCTCAGACTTTTTTAAAATAAATCAAAAATCGTATTTAACATTTATAACATTTCAGTCGTTACTGTTAAGCTCCTAATACTTTGTTAAAATAAATCAAAAAATAATCTCCATCACGAGGCCTAATATCATGGTTCTTAGACCAGATTTATTAAAAATATAATAAACAGCAGTGATTAATAGTTGTTCAAAAATTGTAACGGTCAGTTTTGGAAAATGAATGTTGCCTAGCATACGAAACTAGAAGTTAAGCAAAATGCGTTAGCATACAATGCTTATCATCGCTATTTTTAATCTTTGCACTTGCTTTGGAATTGCAAAGGTGGTGTTGCTAACAGAAGGACGAGCTAACACGCATGAATGGAAGTTATTGATTTATGTTTTTCATCTCCATGGCTTCAGGTAAAAATATTTTTCACATCTTCATATCTTGACTTTTGAATAAACCCTTTTCTTCCCCACTTGAGGCTCCTAAGAGAAACACATTGGCACGAATTCCATCGTTCATCGCAAGCTTTTAGGCTCCGCAAAGGGAAGGCGAAAAACAAAGTAAGGTTCTTACATTTTTTTAATTAGGATATGCTAAAAATGGCCCCATTTACATTCGCCAGTAGTCACAGCCATAGTTGTCCCGCTAGCTAGCGACCAAAGTACACAATTTCCGATTTAGATGGACGCATTGGCTGCGCGATCATGGGACCGAGGGTAAAAATAACTTTTATAGCGTGACTTGAAGCTTAAGGTGATTCCCTAGTAAAAGAACCCGCCATAGATTTCCGATGAAACTTGGTATGCTGTTGTTACAGGAGAAGGAGATATTAAAAACGTAGTAAAAGGAGGGGGTCACCGTGCTTGTTTTCACGCCACAATGCTGACAAATACGGTTATTTAGGTGACTTTTGGTAATCTCCGTGCGCAAGAAATAAGCTCGATTATTTTTCAATGCAGCTTGTTATATCGCACAAAGTTTGACTTTCTTTGATTGTTTATTCATCTACGTCCCAGAAAAAATGTCTTCAAATACCCTGCATTTTTTTATCCTTTAAAGGAAACATCATTTGGACAT